ACGTTTTGTAGTTGGATGTGCTTTATAAGTTACAATACCCCGTCATCAAAACAATATAATACAATTTGCTGAGATTTTTTTTCGATCCATGTACACTATCAAGCATATTGTAAATGTCTTTAGAGCGAACAGGGGTAGCATTTTCTTTGAAAATACCCTTTCCTTTCATTTTAGAGGTGGAAACGTTGTATGTTGTGTCCAGGATTTTGCTGATAAGAGAGCAAACATTTCATTCTGAAAAGGGGGAGAGCTGGCATTTTTTTTCCAAGTCAGATTATTTCATATGAGTGAAAGACATTATTTATGTCCAATGTAATCAGGGGCCTAATATATATTTTTATCTTAAATGGAAGGGATGATTTGAAACTAGGCAGTACAGGTTAATCATGGAGGAGCATTGAAAAAGCCCTATCATATACTGCCTAACGACCATATCTATGTCTCCATTCTTTTTTTTAGGTCACCTGAGTCACTCAGGCGACCTATTGCTATCCGTTCTCGTCCGTCGGCGTGCGTCAACATTTGAACATTTTTAGCCTCTTCTCTAAAACCGCTTAACCAATTTCAACTAAATTTGGCACATTGCATCTATGGGTGAAGGGGAACATAAATTGTGAATTTCATGGTCCCTGCCCCCCTGGGGCCTGAGGTGTGGGGCTAAAACCACCAAAAATAATGCAATCTTTAAAAATATTCTTCTTTACTCCTGGACATCAAGCAGTCAAACTGTTGGCATCATTGTAATAAGCATTGAGCCCTCTACCAAAATTGTGAAATTCATGGCCCCAGGGTCAGGGGTTCTGGCCCCAGGGTGGGGCTATATAGATCATATAGTGAAAGTGCATTATTTCTTTGGAAATCTTCTCTGCTACTGGAGATTATTTAAACAAACTAAGTGCTTGGTTATGATGCATAAGGATGCCTTTTCAAAAATTGTGAATTTCATGGCCCCAGGGTCAGGGGTTCTGGTGTTAGGGTGGGGCTCTATTGATTTTATAGTGAAAATGTATTAATTCTTTGAAAATCTTTTTCACTGCTCCTGGATATTTAATAGAGTAACTAAGTACATAGTAATGATGAGCAAGAGTGCCTCTTCCAAAATTGTGAATTTCATGGCCCCAGGGTCAGGGGTTCTGGTCTTAGGGAGGGGCTCTATCAACTATGTAGTGAAAATGCATTAATTCTTTGAAAATCTTCTCCTCTGCTCCTGGGCATTAAGGTGATAAACTAAGTACATAGTTATGATGAGGAGGTGGGCCTCTTCCAGAATTGTGAAAGCCATGGCCCCAGCGTCAGGGGTTCTGGTGTTAGGGCGGGGTTCTATTGATTATATAGTGAAAATGCATTGATTATTTGAAAATCTTCTTCTCTGCTACTAGAGATTATTTAAACAAACTAAGTGCTTGGTTATGATGCATAAGGATGCCTTTTCAAAAATTGTGAATTTCATGGCCCCAGGGTCAGGGGTTCTGGTGTTAGGGCGGGGCTCCATTGATTATATAGTGAAAATGCATTGATTCTTTGAAAATCTTCTTCTCTGCTACATGAGATTATTTAACAAACTAAGTGCATGATTATGATAGGCAAGGATGCCTCTTCCAAAATTTTTAAATATATGGCCTCAGTTTTTGGGGTTCTTGAGGGGGGGGGGGGGGCTCTATTGATTATATAGTGAAAAAGCATTAATTCTATTTATCATTAATTAATCCTGTCTGCTCCTTAGTGTTGAGCTGATAAATAAATTGCTTTGCTATGATGAAAATGGGAGCTTCGAACAGAATTTTTAAATCTTGTGGTCCTAGGGTCAGGGGTTCTGGCATAACGATGGGGGGGGGGGTGATAATATAGTGGAAAAGTGTTAATTCTTTGAAGTCCGTAGTTATAATGATGCGGGTAACTCTTCCAAATTTGTAAATTTCTTGACCCTTGGTCTTGGGTTCTGGTGTTAGGGTAAGGCTTTGTTAAATCTGTAGTGAAAATGCATTGTACCTGTGAAATTCTTCTCTGCTTCTGGGCATATCGGAGGCAAACTTAGTAATATTTTAAATGATATAAGTAAGCTTATTTCTACCAGATTTTTGAACATTTGGACCTTTTGTCTAAGCATTCTGGTCCTGGGCAGGGCTCTATTAATTTGTATTCTACTGAGAGGAGTTATCCCCCTATGCTGTTTACTTTTGATAATTAATCACTGTAAACAATGTACTTGAAAGGTTAATAGAATAAGATAATTATGCAAGAATGTTTATCGTATAATTCAAAAAGTACTTTCTTAGTTTTAATAATCAGGTAGACCTGTAAGTAATAGATAAATAAAAATGAGACAAAAATAACTTATCTTATTAAAAGTTCTTCAAAGACCATAAGAGAGGTCAATGCTAGAGGTCTTAATATGGGTTTAAACATAGTACCGAAGCACTAATAGTTTGTTAATAGTCTGCATGGTGATAGTTTTAAGTGGGGGACAGATTAGAACTTAATTTATGAGTTGATACTGAATACTAGACTAATTATTTTGTTGATCCTGATCTTCCTACTTCTCTTGCTTTAGGGCAACAAAGCTTCATCTATCAGTGTATTTAACTTCTTAATTGTTGTATTATACTCAGGTGACCGATAAGGCCCTTGGGCCTCTTGTTTAATCTCAATACAATGAGTATTTCTGTTTAATTGGACAACATTTATTTTAAAAGGTTTTAAGTTTACACAACTACCCAATACTGATGATATTTTGAAACCACAATAGACTAGTTGGCATTGTTTCGGCAAAAGCAAAAAAACCCGACTAAAAATGAAAAAAACAACATAACCCCAGTTCCATAGCTGATTTTCTGTACATGTATAATGGCAACGTAGATAAATGCAGGATGATGTAGGCAATATCAAGAAACTGTGTGAAAGTTTAAGAGTTGTCATCCATTTTGCATAAAATTTCACATATTTTAAAAAGTTTCTATTCCTATGATAAATTAAAACTTTTGATGAAGTGATATACTCATCTTAACCAACCTTTGTCAAAAATCTTAAAAATAACAAGTTAAGTCATGTCCCAAGGAGTAAAATTAATTACTTTATCCGCATAGATTTTAATTTTTCATTCAAAGTTTCACAATTATTTATTGGAAATAAAGTGACGAAAAGTTGTATAGATTAATAAAGATGGTTGCAAAAAAGTGAAATTTTGAACATCATAAAAATTTTACAATTTCTTAATATTTTAGAAATTTATTATTCGCATCATTTACAACCAAAACAGGTCCAAAATATATACCACTCCAGGCATCAATTTTTCTCTTTGTATCATCTGTCCTTAATATCAAAAATATGTCAAATTATGGCTTGGATATTGACCCTGAATTAGAAAAAAAAATATGGAACAACTCAAATAATACCACCTTAATTTTATCGTTTTAAGTCTTATTGATGAAGAGTTCTCAATTTGTGAACTTCACAAGCTTTTTTATATATAAAAATTTGATCTTGATTTCCTCCTCCATCCTAGAACTTGGAATTCCTAATGTTAAAGGTTCTCAAGTTATTATTGTTGATATAATTAAGTTTGTGTGTTTGTTGTTTAACGTCCCTTTCGAGAATTTTTCACTCAGATGGAGAAGCCACCTTTTGCCGGTGGAGAGCTGCAAATTTTGACCTATGTTCGGCACTCGGGGCCATTGAGGAGCGAGGGATCTTTTTCGTGCCAGCACCTACTGCAACACGGGACCTCGGTTTATACGATATCATCCCAAGGACTGGTATTCACGTCCCAGAGTGGGATTCGAACCCGTGACGTAAGGATCAACTCCTTACTCCGCGACTCTATAGCGAACATTCTAACCACTGCGCCACGCGGGCGACGAAATAATTACGATGTCGACGAAGGAGAAAAAGGGAACCGATAAAAACAATGTCTCCCCAAGGAAGGGAGACATAATTATCTCTTGGAGGACTACATAGAAAGTAAAAGATAAGGAGCAATAGAAAATAGGGTATTGATTAGTAATGCCACCGATCACTCGTTTTTTGTAAATATGGTAAGATTTTGTTTGTTAACGTCCCTCTCGAGAATCATCTATGGAGACACCACCACTTACCGGTGGAGGGCTACAAATTTTGACCTATACTCGGCACCCAGGGCCATTGAGCAGTGAGGGATCTTTTTCGTGCCAACATCTACTGCGACACGGGACCTCGGTTTATAGGACCGGTCTCCACGTTCCACAGTGGGATTCGAAATCGCCACGTAAGGATCAACACCTTTCTACGCGACTCTAGAGCAGACGCTCTACCACTGCGCCACGCGCAAATATGGTAAGATACAGTATGGTAAGAAATAATTAGAAGAAAAGTGTCCATTATTCGGGCTCAAACACGTTAGCTGTGCATTGAATGCAGGTATTGTTCTTAAACGCTACAAAATCCCGAAGGGAAATTCCACGTTATTATTTCATTAAAGAATTTACAAATTTCTAATCAGTACTTTACAGTCAGCTCATCATGATGAAAAGCGTTCTTTTATCCTGAACCAGTCTCCCTTAATTCCTGTTAACAATGCACGGATATCGATCACAGACTTTTGAAGTAGAAAAAAGCCCTTCTTCTTAAAATGAAAATTTAATTGAAATACGTATTAACATTGACAATCGATTAAAACCTATTTACTGATAAACGTATCATAAGTTTTGCCTAATACCAGACAAGAGACAATGACTCCATTTCACATTTTTTAAAATTCTCATTTGGCTGTCATGTTCGCACTATTTCATGGAATATATTGTATGACACGTGAATTAAAACTCACCAAGGAAAACAAGTTCGATTATATGCTACCTTTCAACAATTTTCGCTTTATTTTAGAGATGGAAACACTTAGCCGTGTTCATTGTGGATATATCTGTATCATTCATAAACCTCTCTGTGTTGGAATTTTATATAACTCTAAAAATTATTTCTGCAAAATTCTTCAATCTCACTTGAGTGAACGGTCAGTTGATAACAATAAGATGATAGATGGATGGAGCGTTTGGATTGACTCGGATGGTAAGATCAAACAAGGCAAAGTGTTTCTTGGTTGAATGTCAGTCTTTGCTGTATTTTTCATTTTATTCATGCAAAAAATATAACAGAATGTCATGATTACACACATATAAAACATAACGGATAGTCTATTGATAGAAAAAAAGAAAATTATCTCAGGACTATTCTCCATGATAAAGATCTATTCGAGCATATATTATTATATAAGTTACATGTGACATACAGATAATAAGTATTACCTAAGGATATTCAATAAAAGCTCTCCAATGGGGTCCTGAAATTGCAATTAGGTTAGTAACAAAAAATAACATGAAAAATAATTTACATAATGGAATTTAGCCAGGGTACTTTAAAGAATATAGCATAATACTTTGAAAAATGCCGTGTTTCCTAAGTTACTCATTTATACCTTAAAAAGTATCACATTAATGCTAATGAAAATAAAGTTCGACAAGCTATTATAAAGTATCTCTTCCGTTTGTTGCTAAAAAGGATCTTACAGTTTTTTTGATTTTTTTGGTTTAGTACTCATCTTCTTGATCTCTAATGGCAATGCATTCCAGTCTTTAATAGCATTGTAGAAAAAACAAAGACACTTTACCTATTATCTTAGGTTTTTGAAAATTCCTATTAGTTACACTGCTTTTAATATAACTGTTTAAGGAAAGCTCTAAACACTAACAAAAAGTGCTTTTTGCACTTAAAGACAAATATATCATATAAAGATATGCATATTGAGACTACAGGTGACTCTCGATGGCTCGAACTCCGATCTCTCGAAGTGAACCTCCGGTCCCGTTTTTTCCCCTCTATATAACTAAGCAAATTTACTTTTGATCTCTCGAACTTCCAATTTCTCGACGTTCTCTATCTCTCTCTCGAAGATCTGGGTCCCGTTACCCACATTTCATTGGTTTTTACTCTCTATCTCTCGAAGTTTTGATTGCGCGTGTGTACATGCCAATCAAGCATAAAATTAATGCAGGTTGGACTTACCAGTAACAGTTAACGCCTGGGGCTGTGAGCATTCGAGTGTTGATGTTATTAATTAGTTATAATTCGTAAATTATAAACGGATTGCTTCACAACTTATTTTGACTTGACAGCGAGACGATAATTTCTTAGAAAATAATTTAATAGACGTGTCAATAATTTTCCATAAATTATGAAGTTTTTTAAGAGTCTAATACATAATCCCAGTATGACAAACATTGCACAAGAAATCCTATCTCAAGAACTGAATACCTATTTAATACGAGAAATCTGGTGAAGGACCCGATCAAGCCCGGGGGTAGTCACATGATGATCGCTATTCAGGTTACATGTAATCATGAAATTGGAATAAATAAATCCTAAAACTTAAAAAGATCGCTTTATTTATTCAAAATACGATCATTGTTGTTGAAATCAAGTGAATTACCTGTAAAATACGAATGAAAACGTGCAATGACATTATCAACATATACTTCCGGTATTCATAATAATAGAACAATGATGATTGGAACTGAAAATTCCAGATTTCATTCACTTTCTATCTCTCGAACTTTTCTTGCAGTCCTTTGAACTTCGAGAGATCGAGAGTCACCTGTATTTACTTCATTTTCAACATAGGGTACCTGCCTTATTTCCGCAGGAAAAATGTTCAAAGACAGTGGACTATTCGTGAACAAGAAATCAATGTAGTTTACTTACATTGGGAAAATCAACGGAAATAATGAATGCAATTACTTATTCTTGGTCTAATATAATGCTAAGAATATTTTAATCTATTACAATTTGTGTAATAAATTGTAAATAACCATTATTATGCCCTGCCATGAATATGGCCGGGGCATATAGTGTTTGTCATGTCCGTCTTCCGTCTGTCCTTCCGTCACATTTTGCGTTTAGCTCTGTTTCAAAGAAACTATCCAAGATAATTGAATAAAACTTCATATGCTGATAGATATTGATGAGAGCTATGCAACTGCATCAGCAGTTTTTGACCTTGGCCATTCCTTTGACCTTGACGTCACTTTTCTTAAATTAGTGTCAAACTTCATATTCTGATACATACTGATGTTAACTATTCAACTGCATCAATATTTTTGACCTTGACCTTTCCTTTGACCTTGACCTCACTTTTCTCAATTTGTGTATGACTCCGTTTTAAAGAAAACATATTTTTATCGAACTTCATATGCTAATACATACTGATGTAACCTTTTCAACTGCATCAACATTTTTTGACTTTGACCTTTCCTTTGACCTTAACTTCATTTATTTTAAATTACTGTTTAGCTCAGTTTTAAATCAACTATTCAAAACATTTTTATCAAACTTAAATGTATTTGTGAGAAGTATTCAACTGCATCAAAAATATTTGACCATGGACTTTCCTGTGACCTTGACCTCACTTTTCTTAGATTTGCATTTTGCTTAATTTTAAAGAAACCATTTAAGATATATTTATGTAAGTTTATCCACTTATATACATAATTTGGCGAGAATTTATCATCTATATCCAACTTTTTAGATTTCAATTTCAATTTTCAGGAAACTATTGAAGGTATTCTCATCAAATTTCATACACTAATACAAATTTTCATGTTGCATTACTAATATACCCTCGGTGGAGCATTCATGTCGTATGGACATATTTCTAGTTTTAATCTTACTTCTAAGGGCAGATCACTCTAACTGCATAAACTACCCTACAAGTAGAAACTTTTAGTGTGCAGTGTTTAGATTGATTGATTGACTGTACATTGTTTTGCGTCCCATTCGAGAGTTTTTCACTCATATAGAGACGTCACCATATACCGGTGAAGGGCTTCAAATTTTGACCTTTACTCGGCTCTCATGGCCATGGAGCAGTGAGGGATCTTTATCGTGCCAACGCCTGTCGTGACACGGGGCCTCGGTTTTTAAGGTCTCATCCGAAAGACCCGCAACTTTCACTCCAAAGTGCCGAGCGCATGGCGAAGGAACAGTTGCTACCTATTTTTTATCGACTTAGGTCTGTCGCGGCCGAGATTCGAACTCACGACCTCCCGATCACGGAGCGAGCGCTCTACCGACTGAGCTACCGTCAACGGTATGCAGTGTTTAGAGCTTCCTTAATACAAAATGATCATAGAGATAAGCTGGTGCATTTCCATGATATATATTAAAAACATGGTTTAATCTTAATTGTTTAAACTCTGTCTTCAACTCTTAACATATTCAGAGAGTTTAAAATGTTACAAGAAATATTTTCTCTGGGACCAAGTTTAAAATGAACAGTACTACTTTGTTCTGGATAACTCGTATTCTATGTTTAAGTTGCTTGTTTATTCCAGAACAGGCGTAGTCAAAGTAACTTTGTATCGAAGCAGAACACAGAGTCTTTCTAGACTGTGTACCAAGACAAGATGCGTTTCTTTATGAAAATTTAAGTCTTTTTGTATAATTCTAAATACAATATTTTCACACGAAAGACACTTTTCAATACAGATTCCTAAATATTTAACACTTTCAGAACCTTTGATAACATGACCATTACACAAAATTTTAAAATCTGTAATAATTTTAAGGTTTCTTGGAGGACCAAATAAAATAGATTCTGTCTTACCTAAATGAGGTGACAATTTGTTAACTAACCATGAAGAACTTTTATACAGAACACCAGTTTTTGTGCACTAATAGCAGGATCTCTGTGTGCATAAAAAAACACTGTCATTAGCATATAATCATCATCAATACTGACAGCAATATCGTTTACATAGATAAGAAATAAAAAAGGACCTAAAATGATACCCGAGGAACACCACAATTTATCGAATGAAAAATCTGATGGAATGATGTTGACTTGGACTTGTTGCTGTCTACAGGACAGATAAGATTTGAACCACTAAGTAGATAGAACACCTAAAACTTCTAACTTATCACCTAAAATAATATGGTTAACAATGTCAGAAGCTTTTTGTAAACCCAACATTACCAGGCCTGTAAAAAATCCCTTTAGAGGTTTTGCTTTTAATAAAATCTAGCATGTGTATCTGTAGAAAATTTGTTTCTAAAACCTGATTGGTATGTATACAAGTGAATATAGTTTTAAAAATATAAAAGTTCAACAGGACACATTTTTCCAAAATCTGAGACACTATACATAGTATACTGACGGGCCTATAATTTCCGACTTCAAGGGAATTTCCTTTTTTGAAGAAAGGTTCGACTTTCGCCATTTTGAAGGCTTCTGGTACAATACCAGTGGTAATAGATTTATTTACTACGGACATAAAAGTTTCCTTTAATGTAAAAAACTCCACCTTAAAAAAAAACCTTGCTTGTATGTTATGTAACTTTTCTTTACATTCAAATTTGTCAGTTCTTTGTAAATAAAATCTTCTCATGTTGAAGTACAGGTGGAAGTACACGAGTTTTGTTTTCTGTATTTTTATCTGCATAAAACTGTAAAAACCCTTGATGTAACTGAAAACGTATGAAGGACTAGGATACTTGCGTACAAGTTTTAGTGTAATATACTAGTAGTAAAGAAACAATTAAAGTAATCTAAATATAGTTTTGCCTTCATGGTGTACTATACCATCGATGTTTAAAACAATATTTTCACTACTTTTTTGTTTATATTTGTATCCAATCTTCGTAAGTTTGTTGCCACAACTTTTTAGGCTCTGATCTATTTTCCTCAATTTTATCTTCAAAATAAAAAGATCTAGCTTTTCTAAATTCCCTTTGCATTAGATTTCTTAATTCACAAAAAAATTAGTCTTCTTTATTTTTATGTTTTCTATCAAATAAAAATGTTTAACCTATTTCTAATGAGACCTAAATATTTGACGTCATCCATGGCTCACTTCTTACCTTAACCCTAAGTTCAACAACAAGAACTAAAGTATATCTAAAATGTTGGTAAATATTTATTTAAAATTTGAACCAAGCTCGCGTTGAATTTATACTCCAGTCCACACTAAATAAAAGAAACTGTAGAGATTCGATGAAATAATTGTTCAATAATATTAATAATATGATGACTTTTAAAGTGGCCCCTGGAGACTTTTCTTGTTCAAAATGTCAAAAAAATGATCACTAATTCCAGTGGTAATGACACCAGAGTTAACAATATTTTTCTTTAGAATTACATGAAATGTGGTCAGCAATCGACTCTGTATCACAAGTAACTCAGTAATTGACTCCGTATCACAAGTAACTCTTGTGGGGTCAAGAATAATTTGGTAAAAACTAAATAAATTTAAGATTTTCACATAGGATTTGTATTAAGCATTGCTTTTGATAATGAAGTCACCCAATGTGAGAGTTTCAAAGTCAGTCAGTGCGTAATTTACAGAGATCTTCTTCCCAGTTGTTTTACAAGAGGACCTACCTTTACATGCCATGGACCCTTAATTCTTGCATTGTAACAAGCTTATTGCAATCTTCAACTTGTACCATTGACTGTTAAATGTTAGATTACAAATTAACACACAAAACAATGAAAACATTAGTATAACTTCTTTAAAGCATAGATTTGTTTTTTCCTTGTAGTCTGTACGCCTGGCTGGTCCCCCTTTGCTGGACACTGTTACCGTCTGTATGAAGCCCATGTTACATTCGATGAAGCAGTGGTAAGACATTAACATTTATGACAATGTAAGTTCCATTAGGATTATAGAGTGCATACATTAAACATTTTAGTAAGCTTATAAGAGCAAGATATGTTATTCTTTCTATGTAGAGGAGATGAGGCAGTTCAATCGCCTTTATAATCATTAAATAAATAGTCCTTATGAAGGTACTTTCTCGTCAGCAGTTAAAATAATTGAACCATAGAAAGCACGATCCACAGTTATATATCGATTTTCATTATTTCAGAATCGTTGTCAATTAGAGGGGTCGTACCTGGTTGAGGTCGATTCATTGGAAGAGAACAGCTGGCTATCAGAAGAATTCGGTGGTAAGTTATTCATTTGACATTAAGTATTTATTGAAAAAATGAACAAGTGTTTTTTTTTTTTTATTCCAAGACGATTATAAAGACGTTGCGCGCAATGTTAAATAAAAGACCAGACATGTTAACCCAAGGGTAATTTCGAAATAATGCTCGCAATATAGGCTATTTTTGTATGAATAAATAGCTTTTTTACAGATCTACCTGATTCTAGTCAGAAAATTAATTTAATTGGATTTTAAAGCAAAATATATTTAAACAGCGCTAACAAATGATATATAAAGCGTTATATTTTTACATAATAATGCACTTTTAATATTTTAGTCTGGAATGCTTGGATATGGCTTGGGATTAATGACAGAGATATGGAAGGAAATTTCAAATGGACTCGTCCAGAAAGTCACGTGGTCTTCACGAATTGGCGACCGGGCGAACCTAATGGTCATACTTCTAACAACTGTGTGGGATTATGGGAAACAGGCGTTTGGAATGATATGAGTTGCTCCGAAAAGTTTCTGTTTATTTGCGAAATGGAAAACTGACTATATTAAAATCTGATTCTAAGAAACTGTGAGTGCGATTATATATTATCTCTTATTTTTTACAAGAAGTTTTCAAAATGGTTTATTAAATGAGTATGATAAGTGAAAGTATTTCTCTAAGAAGAGGCCCATGGTTCTTAACGGTCACTTTATTAAATGTAAGACTGAAAATGATCCATAGATTAAAGTATAAAATAAAACTAAATAAGCTGATAAATGAAGCTACATGTACATGTCCAAAAGCAAGAGAATAGATGATCAAGGATCAGTAATAAATTTAATTAAGTACTGAGTAACAAATATTGAAGAAAACAATTGAAGTTGATCTATTATTTGCTATGCAAGTACTTTTTATATTAAGTATCAAAAAATTCTTGTATAATTCTGTTACTTTATTGACATGCCAATTACATTATTTACATTGATTAATTATCATAAGGTTATAACTTCTTTCAGTAAAATACAGCTTAATAAATTGACCAAGTGTCGGATGAAGAATTTAACAATTCAGGTAAAAATATCCTTGCTACTTACTCTATATCCTCTGTTTGCCTCCTAGATGCCCGGGAGAAAATAAGATTTTCAAAGAAATAATGCATTTTTCAGTACAGATTCAACATGGCCCTTCCTTAACAACAGAGCCCCTGACCCAAGGGCCAAGAAATTCATAATTTGGAAGAGGCATGCTTGCTTATCATAACAATGCAATTAGTATGTTTGCAAAATACCCTAGGGAGATCAGATTCACAAAGAAATAATGCATGTTACGATATATTTAAAAGAGCCCCGTCCTGTTACCAGAGCCCCTGACCCAGGGGCAACGAAAGTTATAATTTTGGGAGAGACACTCTTGCTCATCATAACTATGTACTTGGTTTGTTTGCTTTATACTACGGAGCAGAGAAGAAGATCTTCAAAGAAATGATGCAATTTCACTATACATGTATATTCACCATAGCCCCCTCCGTCAGAACCCCTGCCCCTGGGCCCAAAAATTTCAAATTTTTTGAAGAGGCACTCTTGATCATCATTACTATGTATCGAGTTTATCTGCTAAATACCCTGGAGTAGAGAAGATTTTCAACGAAATATAGCACTTTTCAAATTATGATTAATAGACCCTTCTCGCACAAACCCCCCGACTCTGGGGCTACAAAGAGCAAAGTCCACGAACCATTAAAAATGGCCTCTTCTCAAAAATTAATGTGATGTTTGTTATAGGTAATGTAGATTTTTAGCTTTTCATAACGTTTTCCTTTATTTGATATCTATTATACTTTTTGAAAAATAGAAATTGCAATATGACAGTGTTTTGATAGAAAAATGCATTAGGAACGTCATTTTTTGTAATATAACGTTGCGTCAAAGAGCGATAGAAATGACTTATTTAAAGTTTGCGATTACAATGTACCCATATAAATATAGGACTTGAAATTAAATAATTAGCGATAGATACTGATATAATCAACATCATTTAATTTACAATCATAATTTAAAAAAGCAGATGAAGGTGTTCGTTTGATATACCAGTCAATTCTGATTGGATAGAATTGAAAAAAAAAGTTTTCTACGGAAAATGACTTCAACTGTGGTAGTTTTAGATCGATGAAAAAGTAAATATTTGAAACTTTTAAAAACTTATATCTAAATAAATGATCAGAGAAGAAATAGTCAACGGAAGTTAAAAGGACGTACTTTCTAAACATTTGTAACAATAAATTGAACGTCTCACCGTTTTCGTTCATGTAATAGAGAAACTGAAACAAGTTTCGTAAAATACGGAATTCATTCAAAACTTTGTTATTTTTAATGCAAAATTTTATGGAAAAAATGAATTATATTAAAAAGAAGATGACCTAAAAACAAATATGTTAAGTATACTTAAAAACTGAAGATCTATGCTATTGACTTCAAAAGCGTATCCAGCGCCGGCGCGCCGGGCGTAACAACTCCCCCCCCCCCCCCTTTTGTATGTAGAATTTATATGTTCATCATCCTAAAATAGAGGAAAAAACACCTCTTATTTGTAAGAATTGGTCAGCTTAAGGGGGCTTCGCCCCCTGACCCCCATCAGGGCTTTGCCCTGGACCCACTGGGGCTTCAATACAGCCCCCCTGAACCCCCCCCCCCCCGCTTCTTCCTCCCCTCGTTGTGAAATTCCTGGATCCGCCACTGGACTTAGTTGATTTCACGAGAATTCCCCATATTCAGAGAATAAACAGAGTATATATCAACTGAAAAATAAATATAGGTATTACCTTATTTGATGTTCGAAATACATGTATATATTTACTGGAAGAAATAATTAAAAATAGAAATTTGTGTTATACTTGATGATAATTTTGAATGTATATAAACAAAGAAAGTACAAGTAACATCAAGATAAATTCTTACATCTATACTGTCAAACAACTTTCATGAATACGCATGCAAGAAATATCCGCGAGATTCGCATGCAACCCAAGATCGTGGATATTTGTCTTCGCGAACCAGCCGATCGCTTTTAGGGCCATATTTTATTCCCGAAAATAATATGTGTATGCAGGACAGGGATTCGAGACATGTTGTAACGTGGATATAAATAAATGATGTTTCTGTTTTTCTTCTCAAAACTTATTATCTATTGACCTATAAATATAATAAATTTAGTATGTTGCTTAACATTCACTACTTTCAATTTCATTTTCACATTATGATTTTCATGTGTATATATTGCGTATGTAATGCTCGTAAATACACATCAAGAAAGTAAATGAGATACATATATACAAGCATTAATATTTTTCAAATACTCAGCGTAAGATTGATTTTATACGAACAAGTACTTGCTAATAAGGCCTTACGAAAGACAGCATAAGAGGAAAGGGTAATATGCTCTCTATTATTCTTGAAATAGAGAATATTGCTGTAGTAAGAGTAGCATAAATAAGGGGGTGGGGGCACATACAAAATTTTCAGTGTGGCAAAATAGTTTGACATGCGTTCAAGAAAATATTTCCAAGGTTGTTATATATATATATATTCAATAGGACATTGACCTTTTAGCACATAGAATTATTGACAAACACCCTTTCTCCCTGTTTCCAGTAGATTTTATAGTCATAAATCCTAGTTTTAGATATTTCCTATACTTCAAATTAATGTTGATATAATTACATGTAATGCTCTTATAATTTATGTCAAAGCAAACCCCACACCCTTCTCATGTGAAGTAGGAGACAACTAATTTCAGTAGCGGGTTCAGCGAAATTCAGATATTAAATGTAAAGGAAGAAGTAGACCCCCACCCCCCCTTTTCCCACCACCACCCAAAGGATACAGAAGTTAACTGGAGTTGGTAAGAAGAGTCGTGTATATATATGAAAGAAAACGTGTCAATGAGAAGTGTCCCAACAAAATCCCCCGATTAGGTTTTCGTGTTCTAACTGGTTTATTTTCCTTGTCAAAAAAAGGGGGGGGGGGGAGTTGGATTTTTTGGCGTTGGTATTCACGGATCTATCATTGACTCTTACATGTATATTTTAAAAAAAAAAATTCTTAAGTGGTTCTTAAGTGGTTCAATCATGAAAGCCGGAAACTGGCACTGGAATGAAAGTCTCTTCTAAGAGAAATGCCCCCTCCCTTTCGTATTACGGGCCTTAAATTAACTTATCACATATACATATATACATGTATATTGTGCTCAAGTTTTTTATCAGTGTACAATTATTTATAAAAGGGAGGTGCTGGTCGAGAAAACTTGACAAAAACAATTCATTCACAAGTAGTTTACATGTACACATTTTACTTGTTATTTACATTATAGCGTAGTAGCGATTAAATAATTCTGAATTTTTTGAAACATATTTCAATTCCCCTTTTCTTCCTTCTGTCAAATCTTTCTTTTTTTTCCTTTTTTTTTTTTGCTTTTCATTCATTTTTTAATTTGACATCCTACCTGCACTTCAACTCACTCCTTTTAATAAACAATGTCAAGGGTCATATATTTAAAATGTGCATCTTGTTTCTGGAAACCAATAATTTTGCTGACATGCATATATTAGATAACTATAGTAAACATAGATACTATATGCTTGTGCCCTCTAAATAAAAACGTCTGATGACCTTTTTCTTGCTTGTCAGGAAATTTTTGGTAGTGCCCCCTCAACTGCCAACTGAAAATGTATGGCTGTGCCCTCCCCTCCCCCCCCCCCAACTGAATTTGCTTCCTACGGGCCTGTACTTTTCACGCTTTTATGCAGGAGCATAAGAATTATCTACGCGGGCTTCTTTTTAATGAAATGATTGACATGTAGTACAATAATAAAGATTATTTGCTGAGCATTACATGCAGATATAAATATTGTATGTACCGACATGGGATTCGTTAAAGCCCTGACATGTGCATTTGACGGATCAGCACATGAGTTCTTTATTTGGATCCTGTCTGATAATTATCTCAATGAAATATCTAAATTTCTAATG